CCCCCCGCCGCCGCCGCGGGGGGAACACTGTCACCAGAGATCGCCGCTGTCGCCGCTGGAGCTGCCACCGATGCTGCCGCCCCGGCCGCCACCGCGGGGCCTCCGGCCATTCCCCCCGCCGCCGCCGATAGCTCCACCGCCACCACCGCCATTGCCACCGCCGCTGCCGCCACCCCCAGCACCACCACCACCGTTGCCGCCGCCACCAGCGCCGGCCAGCATGGTGTCACTGTAGTATACGCCATCGGCCGCCGGGACATCACGAAATTGGACGGCCGATGTATCCGCGGTGGTGTACGCGTACTCCGGACCGAGGGCACCAGCAGAAGTGACGACGTTGAGGTGGGGGTGCCGGTTGCTCTTGGCACAGTTGCGCCACATGTGACCGTACTGGCCGCATGCACCGCACGTGCCCTCGAACCTGCGGGGGGCGGCGCAATCTATGGCGTGGTGACCGTGCCTTCCACAGCGGCCGCATCTGTGCACTGTGCCCATCGGCGCGCCAGGTGGAGGTAGTGATTCCGGCTGATGATACACGGCATTACTACCGCAATCGTAGATTCCACCAACACCGTTCAAAGCGGGCTGTTGCAGCTGCCGCTGCTGCTGCGGCTGCTGCTGCGACTGCCGGTACGGCTGCATCTGCGACTGCTGTTGATACGGCTGCTGCTGTCGCATCTGCTGCTGCGGCTGTGGGTACGACTGTTGCACCTGCCGCTGCGGCTGTTGGTTCGGCTGTTGCATCTGCCGCTGCGGCTGTTGCGGCTGCAAGTACTGCTGCACCTGCAACTCCGGCTGTTGCTGTTGGACAACACCGCCCCCAGAGGGCCAGTGTTGCCCGCGGCCGTCGCCGTTGTTGCCATTCCGCCGTTGGCCTCCGCCCCCCCCGCTCCCCCCGTTGCCGCCGTGTCCAAAACCACGGCCCACAACAAGAGCATGGGGGTTGACAGAAACCGCTGGCGTCGAAGCTGCCGACCCTCGCTCTCTCATCTCGCTGGTCTTGAGCGTGGCATATCGACCACGCACGACGTCCTGCNACGCACGACGTCCTGCAACTCAGCGCGGGTTAAATCACGCTTGGAAAGACTAGTGCGCTTCTCGACATCGTAGCGTGCGGGGAGTTGGCGCACAAGGATCTGCACAACTTCCTGGTCACTCTTAGCAATGCCCACAGCCCGTAACTTGGTCTCCAGTTGTGCGACGCGCGAGAAGAAAAGCTTGGGGTCCTCATCATCACTCATGGTTATATTGTCTAGCTCAGCGACGAGGAGCTGACAATCAGTTGAGTGGTTCGGCAAAAACCAATCCTCCATCATCCTCCACGCCTCTGCCACGGAATGGCAAGAGTACAGGTTGTTCTCAAATGGGGCCCCCACTGCTGCCTCCAAGATAAAACTCCATGTCCTCTCGTGCTCAACAACCAGCTGTGCACCATACTGGCGTGTCAAGTATCCTTCATCCTGACAACTGACAACGGGAACCTCAGCACTGCCGAAGATTGTGTGCTGGAGATTATGGTTGTCCACGTAGGCCAGAAAGCGTCTCCGCCAACTGAGAACGGTGTCGACGATGTAATTAGGCGGGATCCTAGGCACAGGAGTTCTGACAATTGTACCTCCCAGAGGCAA